CAGTGGTGTGGTGGCACCTGTAGTCCCAGCTACTGGGAGGCTGAGGCGGGAGGTCACTTGAGCCCAGCAGGTCAAGGCTGCAGTGAGATTGCATCATTGCACTCCAACCTGGGTGACAGGGTGAGACCCTACCTCAAAAACAAAACAAAACAAAACAAAACAAAAGCAGTCATTGCCATTGAGACAGCAGCCTCTACGAGCAAACAGCTCCACGAGGTCCTCATTCACAGATGGGGAGACTGAGGCCTGCAGGGATGAGGCGGGGCTGAGCGGGAGCCCTGAGCTGAGCTCCATCTATCCCACCTTTTCACTGGCCCAGCACCTCTGTGGTGGGACAGGTCTGGGAGGGAGGGGCTGTGGGTGTCCCCACCCCCAGCATCACAGAAGGTGGCTGGGGATGCAGAGATGGGTGTTTGCCATGGTGTTAGTGACAAGCCTGCTGGGGCCTCTATCCTGTCACCCCCGCCCCATTCGCTTCCCCGGACCCCTGGAGAGCAACCCTATCTGTAACTGCTCAGAGAGAGGCCAGGAAGGGGTTGCCATGGGAACCGGGCCTCTGCGGGAGCCTTGAGCTCATAATGGCTGCGAAGTGGGCCGCGTGACCTGTGGGGGGTGCAGTTGTCACCGTGGACTGGGGGGCTTTTGCTGCAGGGCACCCTCACCCCATCATAGGCCCTGGGGTGGGGCTGGGCCTCCTGGTGGCCTGCAGATAGGTGAGGCAGTGATGACGGAGGCTGAAGAGGGCCGTGTGGCCCTTTGTACTTGGGGCTGTGTGCCTCGGTGGTTAGCAGGGCCGATTCGGAGCCTCATCTCATATGTGATGCCTCCGTGTTAGTCTTGTGACCTGGGGATGTTTATTTAATCTCCCTGCGCCTCAGTTTCCTCATGTGGAAGATAAGGATGAGAGCTGGGACCCGCCTCCTGAGTTGATGGTGATCTAATGGGTTTGTGTGTGCAGAGTTGCTTGGGGCCCTGCTGGGCACAGGGGCAGCTTTTGTTTATTTATCCACTTCATTTTATTTATTAATTTATTACTTCTGGAGATAGAGTCTCTCCCTGCCGCCCAGGCTGGAATGCGGTGACGTGATCTCAGCTCACCACAACCTCCGCCTCCTGGGTTCAAGCAATTCTCCTGCCTCAGACTCCCTCAGTAGCTGGGATTACAGGCACGCGTCACCATGCCCTGCTGATTTTTGTATTTTTAGTAGAGGCGAGGTTTCACCGCGTTAGCCGGACTGGTCTTGAAGTCCTGACCTTGGGTGGTCTGCCCACCTTGGGCTCCCAAAGTGCTGGGATTACAGGCATTAGCCACCATGCCCAACCTGAGTTTGCTTTTCTATTTTTATTTATTTATTTTACAGAGACAGGGTCTCTGTCACCCAGGTTGGAGTGCAGTGGTGCAGTCAGGGTTCACTGCAGCCTTGAGGACACAGACAGTGAATGACCAATAAGCAGAATAGCTGTGTATAATCAAAGGAGCATGATGATGGAGAGGTGGTTAGGGAGGGCTTCCTGGAGGAGGTAGAATTTGAAGCTGAGTTCTGATGGGGACCGTCCAGGTGGTGGGAATGCTGTGCCTGTGGCCCAGAGGTATGGGGAAGGGATGAGTGTGACATGTGCAGAGAGGCTAGGGCATCCTCGAGAGGCTGGACAGATCCCTGCTTGGCCTTGTGGGGTGACAGGTGGGACCAGGGGTTAGAGCGGATGGGGGCCACAGAATGAGGAGGGTGGAGTGGGAACCTGGCCGAGCACAGGGGCAGGGACAGAGGGCTCACTGTATCTCTTCAGAGACCAACCACATTTGCAGGGAGCAGCCTGGGGCTGTGGCCTTTGAGGTCCTGAGGGTGGTAGTTGCTCTGACTGGCTTCTGTGGCAGGTGGCGCCCGGGAAGGGAAGCTCCTGAGACCATTCACGGTGACAGCTGGGACAGTGGGAAGGACGAGCCCAGGCTGCATTCCCAAGTATCCCCCACCTTCCGGGGGCACCGGAAGAGCCCCATGCCCAGAGCTTGACCAGGCACTAAGAGGACCCAGCGGGGGTGAGAGTGGCCCACTAGTGGCTGAGCCCGCTGGGATTCTGTAGGCCAGGACGGCCACCTCCCCTGTGAGAAGGAAGCTTCAGCACATGCCTTGATTTCTTACCATGGCTGCAGGACTCTGGGGTGGCCCTCTGTTGCCCCAGTCCTGCCTGAGACCTGTCACTGCCCTTCTGGGCCTCAGTTTCCCCATGAGGCCCACAGGTAGGGCCCCTTCTAGTCCTGAGGGAGGGGTGCCTGGTGGGCTCAGGTTCCGCTGTGATACAGGAGCTACATTGATGTTGGCAGTCCACGTAGCCCTGCAGGCCCATGTCTAGCCGCCCCCATCGACACACCCCTCCCCATGCCGGGCTGCCCAGCTGCCCCTTGGTACACTCAGTCCTGCAGGCATGTGAGTGTGCACGGCTGTGCCTCTGTCTGGGTTCCTCTCTTCTGCTCTGGGACTGGTGGGTTCCCACCTTCCTGCAGGGAAAGGGAGACACTATGTGGCCCAGGCTGGAGTGTGGTGGCATCATCACAGCTCATTGCAACCTCCACCTCCTGGCCTCAAGCCATCCTCCTGCCTCAGCTTCCTAAGTAGCTGGGACCACAGGTGCATGACACCATGCCTGACTAATGTTTTATGTTTTTGTAGAGATGAGGACTCATCATGTTGCCCAGGCTGGTCTCAAACTCCAGGGCTCCAGTGATCCTCCTACCTTGGCCTCCCAAAGTGCTGGCACATTCGTGAGCCATTTTGCTGGTCCTCGGGTGCTGCTCATTGGCTCCTGGTGTTCGGGAGTGCAGAAAGGGAGAGATCAGAGGCGAAGGGTGATCTCTGATTCCAGGGCGATCATGGCGAACCCTGATTCCAGGGTTCCTCACCCATGAGGGTCATGGCTGTGGTGCTGCTGTAGACCCCAGCTAGGGCGGCTGGGTGGGGACTTTGTCTTTAGCAGAAGGATAGTGTCTCCATGCTGGCGGATCCCAAAACTGTTGCTGTTGGTGCTGGACTGGGCCCTGGGGGGTGGGGGCTGATGGCCAGCATCCGCCTGCAGTAGCCCTGGTAGGAGGACCTAGCTCCCAGCCCATCCCTCTTCCTGGCAGCCCTGGGAAGACCAGCCCCAAGGGGAGTGTCAGCCAGGCTTGGGCCTATGCTCTGGCACCTGGAGCCAGCGGGCAGGTTTTCCAGCTGCACACCTGGTGGCCTATGCCGTGGTACTCAGCTCCCTCTCATGCCCTTACTCGTTCATCATGTGCCCATCTCTGGCTCATGGTGTTAAACACTCAAAGAGGGACTAGGGCAGGGTGGCAGGGATGAAGAAGGGCTGGGAGGGACAGACGGTGTTCCTGCCACTCCTCCGCTCCCTCTCTCCTCTCCTCTGGTGACTATCCATGTGCCAGGCCTGGGCCTCAGGGGAGCTGGCCATGGGGAGGGACAGGGATGGGTGAGACCGGTGACATCTCCCGCTCTGGGAGCCAAGGCCACCTCCTCCACCCAAGTAGATAGTGTTCTTTTTATTTTATTTTATTTTTTTTTGAGACAGAGTCTCACTCTTTTGCTCAGGCTGGAGTACAATGGTGTGATCTCTGCTCACTGTAACCTCCACCTCCCAGGCTGAAGTGATTCTCCTGCCTCAGCCTCCCGAGTAGCTGGGACTACAGGCGCCTGTCACCATGCCCAGCTAGTTTTTTTGTATTTTTAGTAGAGACGGGGTTTCACCATGTTGGCTAGGCTGGTCTTGAACTCCTGACCTCAGGTGATGGGATTACAGGCATGAGCCACCGAGCCCGGTATGGGTAGTGTTCTTTGGGTTTTTCTGTCTTGATTTTTTTTTTTTCTTTAGAGTCTGGGTCTCACTCTGTCACCCAGGCTGGAGTGAAATGGTGCATTCATGGCTCACTCCAGCCTCGACCTTCCAGGCACAAGCAATCCTTCCACCTTAGCCTCCTGAGTAGCTGGGACTATGGGTACATGCCACCGTGCCTGCCTAATTTTTGTATTTGTTGTAGAGACAGGGTTTCGCTGTGTTGCCCAGGCTGTTCTTGAACTCTTGGGCTCAAGCAATCCTGCCTTAGCTTCCTGAAGTGCTAGGATTATAGGCATGAGCCACTGTGCCTTCGATCTTGATTTTTAAAAAATTAGCCATATATGTATATATGTGCACATATATATGTGTGTGTGCGCATATATATATATTTTGAGACAGAGTCTAGCTCTGTCAGTTGCCCAGGCTGGAGTGTCTGGCACACTCAGCTCACTGCACCCTCTACCTCCCGGTTAAAGCAATTCTCCTGTCCCAGCTTCTTGAGTAGCTGGGATTACAGGGGTGCGCCACAAAGTTCAGCTGATTTTTCTATTTCTTTAGTAGAGATGGGGTTTTGCCATGTTGGCCAAGCTGGTCTCGAACTCCTGACCTCAGGTGATCCACCTGTCTTGGCCTCCCAAAGTGCTGGAATTACAGGCGTGTGTATTTAAACTGTCTTGGGGCACACAGGCCTTCATGGTTCCAGAGTCTGGCTACTTGTGACCCAGGTCTGGCTCATTTTGGGGTTGTGATTTTTTTTTCTCCATTTGGGCTCCGCCCTGTCCTCACCAAACCCCAGCTCAGAGTCCGCTGTGCCATCATTAAAATAGCAATTGTGAGTGCACCTGGCCTCACGTGTCACTGTTCTGATAGGTTGTATGACATTTTCCAATACTGTCCTTGGCCTGGCCGTTGGTCCAATTATCACTGTGGTTGTCTGTCCAGGGGACACAGACAGGCCTCTTGGATAGGGAATGGTAGAGGGGGTGATTCCTGGCCCTGAGGACCCTGGGGTTTGGGGGAGCTCGGTGCATCATAAGGAAAGGTTTCGGGGTGAAGGAGCTGTGCAGGACCATTGGGGTTCTGAGGAGCCCAGGGAGGGGTGAGGGCAGTGGGGCCAGTGGGCCTGGGGTGGCTGGGAGCTGGCTGAGGGCTCACATCCACCTGGCCCCCTACAGGGCATGGCCGAGCAGATGAGGACTGTGTGGATGACCGGGCCAGACACCGGGAGGAGCGGCTGCTGGGGGCGCGGCTGGACCGGGATCAGGAGAAGCTGCTCAGGTGAGGGTGTTGGGGAAGCCCGGGGGTCTGGCGGGTGTCTGGGAGCCCCTGGGGGTGAGGGGCAGCTGGATGACCATAGGTGGGCTTGGCCTCTTGACTGCAGATGCTGTGGTCCTGAGAGCAGGACCCACCCTGGTCCTCAGCACTGGGCCAGCCCTCCCAGGCCAGTGGCCCCACGGCCCCTTCCAGTGAGTGTGGGAGGCCCTGGGCGGCCCTTCTGTTCCGAGTGGTGGTTGTCCGGACTTGTGGCCTGGTGGTGAATGGTTCCTTGGGGTAACCCCACTTCTTCCTCTCATTCCCTGGGCTCTCTGAGCTGCTACTATATCGGTGATTCTCCTTCCAGAGAGAGTAAGGAGCTGGCAGACCTGGCCCGCCTGCACCCTACCAGCTGTGCTCCTAATGGCCTCAACCCCAACCTCATGGTGACCGGGGGCCCGGCGCTGGCAGGCTCAGGGCGCTGGTCTGCCGACCCCGCAGCCCATCTGGCCACGCACCCCTGGTTGCCCCGCTCGGGCAGCACGTCCATGTGGCTTGCCGGACACCCCTACGGTGAGTGCGGGGCGTGGGGACTCTCCCCTTCTCTGAGGGAGGGGTGGGAGGGCACTGGTGCAGGACGAGAGCTCAGGGCTGGTTCCTGCCTGTCTGCCATTTCCTGGGGGGTCCTCGGCCTGGCTCCCGCATTCCTCTGTAGAAGGAATGGTAATGGCATCTGCCTCGTGGGGCCCCTCTGCCCTACCTGTTTGGGGCAGATGCCCAATGGGGGTGGCTCCGTGAGGCTCTTTGTAATCAGCCAGCACGCCTGCCCCTTGGCTTTCCCACTGGGGGCCCCAAGAGGTTCAGTGCTTGGGGGGCTGTGCTGGGCTGAGGCTCCCCAGAAAAAACTGCCTGGGGGGTCCCAGCACTGACTTGGACATGGGCTTCTCCTCCTAGGCTTGGGCCCCCCATCTCTGCACCAGGGCATGGCCCCTGCGTTTCCACCTGGCCTGGGGGGCTCCCTGCCGTCAGCCTACCAGTTTGTCAGGGATCCCCAGTCGGGCCAGCTGGTGGTCATTCCCAGCGATCACCTGCCTCACTTCGGTAAGTGGACCCTCTGTGTGGCCAGCATGGGCCGGGCTGGCCACGCCCAGTGAGATGGTCTCTGATGGCAAGGGTCTCCTGCCAAGGGGTGGCGGCCAGCAGAACCGGGGGCTGGGGAGGCGGACAGGGGTTCAGAGAGAGGATGCCTGCCTCCAGCATTAGAAAGCTTTGGGGTTCTTGTAGTGAGCTCCTACCTAGAAGCTCCATAAAAAGAAGTGAGATCGGCAGCCCTGGGTGGGGGCTGGGATTCCTCCTACCTGGCACCCTCATCCCCTCAGGAATCCAACTTGCAGACCGCTGGGAGGGGTGGGAGAAGGCGTTTCCTAGGTCCCCACAGTGGCCCTCATACACTTCTGCATGCTGACCTGCTCTGGTTGTGAAGCTGTGGGGAGGTCATCCCACCCGGGAGTGTGGACAGGGTCATGTTTCCCGGGCCTGGGGTGTATGCATGGCCAGTGGAGGACAGGATGGGCTTCCTGGACACTGGGGAGCAGCAGAGCTCAGCTCCCTGCTATGTGAGAGGCCCCTCTCTGGCCTTAGCATCCCCTCTGTAAATGGACATGGTGGTGCAGTGTCAGGCCACAGGTACAGCCCACTGTCTGTGTCCCCACAGCGGAGCTGATGGAGCGGGCCACTGTGCCACCCCTCTGGCCCGCCCTGTACCCGCCGGGCCGCAGCCCCCTGCACCACGCCCAGCAGCTGCAGCTCTTCTCGCAGCAGCACTTCCTACGGCAGCAGGAGTTCCTGTACCTGCAGCAGCAGGCGGCCCAGGCCCTAGAACTGCAGAGGAGCGCCCAGCTAGTGGTAAGTTGGGGAGGATGAGGTGCAGCCCCCTCCGGGGGCCCTGTGAGTAATGAGGCAGATGAGTCAGCCAGCAGAAATTCCAGTTAATGGGGAGGGGCAGAAAACAGCAGAGGGGCAGGTGGTCAGAGAGGGCTTCCTGGAGGAGGCAGTGTTGGAATGGAGACCTGGAGCCATTTGTGGAAGAGCTCTCCAGGCAGAGGGAGCTGTCAGCAGAGGTGGATGGAGCCTGGCAGGGCAGGGTGCAGGAGCAAGGGGGAAACCAAGGCAGAGAGGTGGCCTTGGGGACTGGGGAAGGGTGACTGGATGCTGAAGGAGTCCCGGGGGCTCCTGCTGTTGCCTGAGCCCAGCCTGGCCACTTCTTTCCAGGTGGCCTCTCGGAGAGGCATATGGCGGGGATCTGGCCAGCTGCCTCCTGATGGCGTGGTCCCATAAGATAGGGGACAGGAGGGGGTCTGCTCTGGAGGAGTTGGCCTGGTTGGCACATGCAGCAGGAAGCCCTCAGAGCCCGAGCCCTGGGTCTGAATCTTAGATATGCCAGGCCTGGCTGTGTGCCCTTGAGCAAGTGGCTTCACCTCTCTGGGCTTCAAGTTTCCTCTCCCAGAAACAGAGATGCTACTGTTGCCTAGTCCTTGTGTTGCTAAATGTTTAGTAGTATTTAGTAAACTATTTAGTAATTGGGAGAGTGGCCTGTCCTTGGAGCAATTCGTACTGGTTTTGTTTTTTTTGGAGATGGAGTCTTGCCCTGTTACCCAGGCGGGAGTGCAGTGGCACAATCTTGGCTCACAGCAACCTCCACCTCCTGGGTTCAAGCAATTCTCCTGCCTCAGCCTCCCACGTAGCTGGGACTACGGGCATGTGCCATTACGCCTGGCTAATTTTTTGTATTTTTAGTAGAGACAGGGTTTCACCATATTGGCTAGGCTGGTCTTGAACTCCTGAGTTCAGGTGATCCACCTGCCTTGGCCTCCCAAAGTGCTGGGATTATAGGCGTGAGCCATGTTGCCCGGCCCCTGATGTTTTGTGTATAGACTGACCCACCTAGGTAGGCATTGGAGATTGTGGAGCCGACTCTGACTCCGTCCCATTTCCTCATAAAAGGCACACCTGGGCTCCTCCTGCCCCGCTTTTGGGGCATTTTGAGACCCTAAAATGATAATGCAGTGAAACAGGAAGGTTCAGCTGGTAGTGAGTGCTCTGTGAAGGCTACTGTCCCAACACCATTGAGGTGTGGGGCCTCGTCCTCCCACCTTGCCCGCCTTGGCCTGACTGTGAGGGTTCCTGCAGGGCCGAGCTATGGGTGGATTATCCCATCAGTCCTGGTCCGAAGGGGCCCGCCAAAGCTCCTCACCCCAGCCCTGCCTTTCGGGATTCTGCACGGAACGCTATGCTTATGACACACAGGCTGGGATGGAATGTCCGTCTCTGGCCTGGGAGCGGGTGGGCAGCCTAGACCCCAGGTCCTGCATGAGGTTCTCCTCCGGCCGGGGGACCCTGGGGTCAGGGCAGGTGCTGGGGGGTAGGGGGGACTTGTGCTGCGCTGACCCTGCCTGCTGGCCCCTCCCCAGCAGGAGCGGCTGAAGGCACAGGAGCACCGGGCAGAAATGGAGGAGAAGGGGAGCAAGCGGGGTCTGGAGGCTGCAGGCAAGGGTGGCCTGGCTACCACCGGCCCTGGGCTACTGCCTCGGAAGCCCTCTGGCCTGGCCGCCGGCCCTGCGGGCACCTATGGCAAGGCTGTGAGCCCACCACCATCGCCCCGTGCATCCCCTGTGGCTGCCCTGAAAGCCAAGGTCATCCAGAAGCTGGAGGATGTGTCCAAGCCACCCGCCTACGCATACCCCGCCACCCCCCGCTCCCACCCCACCAGCCCACCGCCTGCCTCTCCGCCGCCCACCCCGGGTATCACCCGCAAGGAGGAGGCCCCCGAGAATGTGGTTGAGAAGAAAGACTTGGAATTGGAGAAGGAAGCCCCTAGCCCCTTCCAGGCCTTGTTCTCAGGTAGGATGTGGCTGAGACCCTTAGGGTCTCAATCTGGCCCTGGTATGGTAGAACTGCTCACCCATCTTTTCATTGACCCATTCATTCATTCATTCATTCATTCCATCTCCATGGAGCACCTCCTGCGGAACAAACACAGGAGCTCACAGTCATATCCAGCTTCTCCTCGGCCCCCCCTCAGTGGTAGTGTCAGGGAAATGGGCGTAATATTAGAACCTGCTTCAGGACAAGTTGTTCTGAGATACCAACCTTTCCAGACCTGTCACACACTTAGCGTGCAGTCGGTGCTAACTTCTACCTTGGCAGTGATGGTCCAGGGACGCCGGTTCTGGGCAGCTGTACCCCTGTGCCATGTGTCACATGAACATACCCACTCTTCCCAACTCCTGCGTCAGTGGGGACCTGCAGCAGGTGGCTTTGGGGGCTGGGACTCTGTTCTTCCTCCCTGGGGGGTATCAGATGTGTGAGTGCCTGCTTGGGAGGACTTTAGTTCAAATTCAGATTCTGGCACCAAGGCTGGGTGAGCTCAGGCCAGTGGTGGCTGAGTACTTAGCTTGTGCCCGGCCAATGCCTGACTCTCCTTCGTCAGCTGCCCTTTTGCACGCCTCCAGCTTGCCTGCCTCCATGCTGGGCTGGGAGTGGCGCAGAGAATCAGGGACACAAGCCTGCTCAGGGAGATTATATCTGGGACAGAACTGGGTTGCTATTTCTCTCTTTTTTTGAGAGAGAGAGAGTTTTGCTCTCATTGCCCAGGCTGGAGTGAATTGCACCATCTCAGCTCACCGTAACCTCTGCCTCCCAGGTTCAAGCGATTCTCCTGTCTCAGCTTCCTGAGTAGCTGGGATTACAGGCATGTGCCACCATGCCCGGCTAATTTTGTATTTTTAGTGGAGACAGGGTTTCTCCATGTTGGTCAGGCTGGTCTTGAACTCCTAACCTCTGGTGATCCACCCACTCAGCCTCCCAAAGTGCTGGGATTACAGGTGTGAGCCACCATGCCCGGCCAGGTATTCCTCTTTTTTTTTTTCTAAGATGGAGTCTTGCTCTGTCATCTAAACTGGAATGCAGTGGTGCGATCTTGGCTCACTGCAACCTCTGCCTTCTGGGTTCAAGCAGTTCTCTGCCTCAGCCTCCCAATTAGCTGGGACTATAGGCACCCACTACCACCACATCTGGCTAATTTTTGTGTTTTTTAGTAGAGATGGGGTTTCACCATGTTGGCCAGGCTGGTCTTGAACTCCTGACCTCAGGTGATCTGCTCACTGTGGCCTCCCAAAGTCCTGGGATTATAGGCATGAGCCACCGCACCCAGCCAGTATTATTTTTTTTGAGATAGGATCCTCACTCGGTCACCCAGGCTTGTACTGCAGTGGTGCAATCACAGCTCACTGCAGCCTTGAACACCTGGGCTCAAGCAATCCTCCTGCCTCAGCCTCCCAAGCAGCTTGGACAATAGGTGTGCACCATTGCACTTAGCTATTTTTTTAATATTCGTACATTTTGTGTATCACTTTGTTTGCAAGGCTGGTCTCAAACTTCTGGGTTCAAGCGATCCTCCCATCTTGGCCTCCCGAAGTGCTAGGATTATAGGCTTGAACCACTGCACCTAGCCTTGCTGTTAACGTTTTGTTTTGTTTTGAGACAGGGTCTTGCTCTGAGGCTGGAGTACAGTGGTGCCATCATAGCTCACTGCAGCCTTGATCTCCCAACCTCAAGTGGTCTTTCCACCTTAGCCTCCCAAGTAGCTGGGACTACAGGGGTGTGCCACCATGACCAGTCAATGTTTTTTTTTTTTTCAGTAGAGATGGAGTCTCAGAGGCCAGGCTCAGTGGCTCACGCCTGTAATCCCAGCAATTTGAGAAGCTGAGGCAGGTGGATCACCTGAGGTTAGGAGTTCGAGGCCAGCCTGGCCAACATGGTGAAACCCCGTCTCTACTAAAAATACAAAAGATTAACCAGGTGTGGTGTCTGATGCCTACAGTCCCAGCTGCTCTGGAGTCTGGGGCAGGAGAGTCGCTTGAATCCAGGAGGCACAGGTTTCAGTAAGCCGAGATCATCATTGCATTCCAGCCTGGCTGACAAAAGCAAAACTCCATCTCAAAAAAAAAAAAAAAAGGGATGGGGGTCTCACTATGTTGCCCAGGCTGGTCTTGAACTTCTGAACTTAAGCCATCATCCATCTTAGGCCTCCTAATGGCGTGGTGGCTCACACCTGGCCCTGCTTGAACAACTGCACTTTTTCTTTTCCTTTCTTTTCTTTTTTCTTTTTTTTGACACAAAGTCCCGCTCTGTCAGCAGGCTGGAGTATAGTGCTGCAATCTCTGCTCTCTGCAGCCTCCGCCTCCCAGGTTCAAGCGATTCTCCTGCCTCAGCCTCCCAAGTAGCTGGGACTACAGGTGCACGCTGCCACACCCATCTAATTTCTTTGTATTTTTAGTAGAGACAGGGTTTCACTATGTTGGCCAGGATGGTCTTGATCTCCTGACTCGTGATCTGCCCACCTCAGCCTCCTAAAGTGCTGGGATTACAGGCGTGAGCCACTGCACCCAGCTGAACAACCGGTTTAATGGGTGGAGCGGCAGATTCTTGTAGGGTCGAGGGGCCAGACCACACAAGGTGGGTAAAGGCAATATTAGGTCTGTGCAGATCTCATGAAGTATTTGCTTCTGGTCTAGCCTTGTGCTGGGTGCTGAGCGGGGAAGGGACAAGAGAGACAACTGTGGTTTTTTTGCCTTCAACACAAGACCCCGGGGACGGAAAGGCGGCCGATTTTTCACTATGGGGCCAATTGCGAAGCCACTGGGTCTCTGAGTTCACACCTAGAACAGCTCCCAGCCCTGCAGCTGGATGAGCAGAGGGGGGCTGGGTGTCTGGGTCTCTGTCAGGGGTGGTGGGCAGGTGTCAGTGGGGACACAGCATGCCGATCCCAGGGCTCCCATGCTGACCCCTGTGTCCTTGACAGATATCCCGCCCAGGTACCCATTCCAAGCCCTGCCGCCGCACTACGGGAGGTCCTACCCTTTCCTGCTGCAGCCCACGGCGGCTGCTGACGCGGATGGCCTGGCCCCAGATGTGCCACTCCCAGCTGATGGGCCCGAGCGCCTGACACTCTCGCCAGAAGACAAGCCCATCCGATTGTCCCCCTCCAAGATCCCAGAGCCGCTGCGGGAGGGCCCGGAGGAAGAACCACTGGCCCAGCGGGAGGTGAAGGCAGAGGTGGAGGACATGGATGAGGGCCCCGCAGAGCTGCCGCCTCTGGAGTCGCCACTGCCACTGCCCACCGCAGAAGCCATGGCCACCCCAAGCCCTGCAGGCAGTTGTGGAGGTGGCCTGTTGGAGGCCCAGGCACTGAGTGCCACCAGCCAGGGCTGCATGGAGCCCTCCGAGTGCCCAGACTTTGCAGAGGGGCCTGAAGCTCAGGCGGATTCCCCAGGCCGGACAGAACCCTGCACGGCTACCCTGGACATGGGGGTGCAGCGGGCACCCGAGACACTGGTGGAGACCAAGGAGGAGCCCGTGGAGGTGCCTGTGGCAGTGCCCGTGGCAGAGGCAGTGCCTGAGGAAGGCCTGGCCCAGGCAACCCCAAGTGAGCCCCAGCCCAGCCTTCAAATGGACTGTGACGTGCCTGCTGGGGAGGGACAGTGCCCGAGCCTGGAGCCCCAGGAGGCCGTGCCTGTGCCTGGCAGCACTTGCTACCTGGAAGAGGGAAGCTCTGACCAGTTACTGCCTGGCCTGGAGGACCCACTGGCTGGCATGAATGCCCTGGCGGCGGCTGCGGAGCTGCCCCAGGCCAGGCCTCTGCCCTCCTCGGGCGCTGCCAGAGCCCAGGCCGTGGAGAAGCTGGAAGTGGCTGAGAGCCTTGTCCTGGAGCAGAGCTTCCTGCATGGGATCACCCTGCTGAGCGAGATCGCAGAGCTGGAGCTGGAGAGGAGGAGCCAGGAGCTGGGAGGTGAGAGTGCACCACCGAGTCATGCAGATTCTGGAATTAATTAATTTCTTTTTTCAGAGACAGAGTCTTGCTCTGTCACCTAGGCTGGAGTACAATGGTGCGATCTTGGCTCACTGCAACCTCTGCTTCCCGGCGGAGGCGTTCCAGCAATTCTCCTGCCTCAGCTTCCTGGGTAACTGGGACTACAGGCGTGTGCCACCACACCCAGCTAATTTTGTATTCTTAGTAGAGATGGGGTTTCACCATGTTGGCCAGGCTGGTCTTGAACTCCAAACCTCAGGTGATCCACCCGCCTCGGCTTCCCAGAGTGCTGGGATTACAGGCGTGAGCCACCATGCCTGGTCCTCTTGAATTTGATTTTTGTGGAGACAGGGTCTTGCTATGTTGCCCAGGCTGGAGTGCAGTGGCACAGTCTTAGCTCACTGCAGCCTTAAATTCCTGGGCTCAAGTGATCCTCCCATCCCAGCCTCCCAATTAGCTTGTTCTATAGGGAGCCACTAAGCCAATCTGACTATTTAAAAAGTTATTTTTTTAGAAATGGGGTCTTGCTCTGTTGCCCAGTTTGGTCTTGAACTCCTGGACTTCAAGCAATTTTGCCCGCCTTGACCCCTCAGAGTGCTGCGATTATAGCCGTGAGCCGCTGTGCCCGGCCTCTTAAACAGTTTTTTAATAAGATTTTTGAATTTTGAAAAACCCCAGAATATGGTTTATTCATAGTGATCTTTGGAAGAATTGTGGTAAGGTATGCATAACAAAATGTTACATCTTGAGCATTTTAAGCGTCCGGTTGAGCAGCATGGTAAGTGCGTTCACATTTTGTAGCCAATTTGTGCGTTTCTTGGTGGTGAAATTTCTCATTCTGTCAATGGTGTGTTTTAGCAGGATTTCTAGGGTTGCAAGGGACAGAAACCCTGATTTAAATTGGTTTAGGCGGGAGAGAATAATTTGGCTGGTGGAACTGAAGTCCAGCAGAAATTAGGTAATTTCAGGTATGGCTGAATCTATGTGTTCAAGCCAAGACACGAAGTTTCTTTCTTCCTGCACAGGCCCTACCGTGGTCTCTCTCTCTCTCTCCCTGTCTCCTTCCCTCCTTCCCTCTTGCTCTTCTACTTTTCTTTCTGTTGGTCTCATTCAAGGCTGACTTATGCATCCTCATTGGGGGGTGGTTTCCGTTCTTCCCAGGCCCATGGGCCTGCTAAGCAGCCTCATGAAAGAGGCCACTTGTTTCTTGGTAGCTCTGACAAAACACTGAGATTCACTCTCATAGGCCGACTGGTGTTCATGCTTTTTGTTTTGTTTCGTTTTTGAGACAGTCTCAGTCTGTTGCCCATGCTGGAGTGCAGTGGTATCCTCTTGGCTGACTGCAGCCTCCGCCCTCTCGGGTTCAAGTGAATCTCCTGACTCAGCCTCCCAAGTAGCTGGGATTACAGGCGTGTGCCACCATGCCTGCCTAGTTTTTGTAGTTTCAGTAGAGATGGGGTTTTGCCACATTGGCCAGGCTGGTCTCAAACTCCTGACCTCAAGTGATCCACCTGCCTTGACCTCGAGAAGTGCTGGGATTACAGGTGTGAGCCACCGCGCCCAGCCAAAGCTGTGGTTTAAAAAAAAAATCATTGTTTTAGAGATTGCCCAATGTTCTGCCGGGCAGTGGCCCTGGCCCTCGATGGCCCAGTTAGATGGTAAGGCATTTTCATCTGCTCTAAGACAAAGTAGTTGTTTTTTTTTCCCATTGCAAATAATGTGATGGTGTTATCCTTGAAGGAAAAACATCCTTGTCCATATCTCTGATTTGCCTCGGATTATATTCCCAGAGGTAGAACTGTTGCATCCAAACAAGGCCACGTTTTCAAGGCTTTTTGACTGTCACGGTCAGATGGCCCTCAAGCCTGGAGAAGCCACGCTCCTGTTAATATGTGTGAGCGATGCCTCTTCCCCACTGGGCGGCGGTGTTCTAAATTCATTGCTTCTTTTCTTTCACTAAAATAGTTCAACAAAAGCTTTTTTTTTTTTATTTTGTAGAAGAAAATAAGAACTCCTTTGGTCTTCCTTTCCACCTGGTACTGGGTTTTTCTTTCTTTTTTTTTTTTCTTTGAAATGGAGTCTTGCTCTGTTGCCCAGGTTGGAGTGCAGTGGTGCGATCTCAGCTCACTGCAACCTCTGCCTCCCGGGTTCAAGCAATTCTCCTGCCTCAGCCTCCAAAGTAGCTGGGACTACAGGTGCACATCACCACACCCAGCTAATTTTGTATTTTTAGTAGAGATGAGGTTTCACTGTGCTAGCCAGGCTGGTTTTGAACTCCTGACCTCATGATCTACCTGTCTCAGCCACCCAAAGTGCTGGGATTACAGGTGTGAGGCCCCTCGCCTGGCTTTTTTTTCTCTTTAATTTAATTTTTGTTGAGACAGAATCTCCCTCTGTTGACCAGGCTGGAATGCAGTGGTGTGATCTCTGCTCACTGCAGCCTCTGCCTCCTGAGTTCAAGTGATTCTCCTCCTGCCTCAGCCTTTCAGGTAGCTGGGACTACAGGCGCGTGCTACCATGTCCGGCTAATTTTTGTATTTTTAGTAGAGATGGGGTTTCACCATATTGGCCATGCTGGTCTTGAACCCCTGGCCTCAGTGATCTGTCCGCCTCAGCCTCCCAAAATGCTGGGATTACAAGTGTGAGTCACCGCAACCAGCCCAGAATTCTCCACCCTATCAGGACACCAGCCTTGCTGAGTTAGGGCCCATTGCCATGATTGTAACTTGGTCACCTCTGCAAAAACCCTGTCTCTCACGAAGGTTACCTTCTGAGGTTACTGGTGGTTAGGACTCCAGCATATTAAATGGGTGGAGACACAGTTGAACCTGCTGAACCCATCACGGCTGGCCTAGATGGAGTACATTGCCTGTTGTTTGAGAGCTTTGGCAAGATGGGTTTGTGGGAGGGTGAAGGAGGTGACCGGAAAACAGAGCTGCCCTCCTACCTCACACTGTACGTCTCACAGGATGTCAACGGGGGCAGGTGGTACAGAGCCGTCACTGTGGGGTGGGCACGACAGCTTCACTCTAACACCATCCTTTGGGAGCTGATGAGGTTTGCAGTTTTGTGGCCTCAGTTTCCCTAAAGATAGAAAAGTGGTCGGGTGCGGTGGCTCATGCCTGTAATACCAACACTTTGGTATTACCACGAGGTGGTTGGATCACTTGAGGTCAGGAGTTTGAGACCAGCCTGGCCAACGTGGTGAAACCTTGTCTTTATTAAAAATCAAAAAATTAGCTGGGTGTGGTAGCGCATGCCTATAGTCCCAGCTGCTCGGGAGGGTGAGGCAGAAGAATTGCTTGAATTCGGGAGGTGGAGGTTGCAATGAGCCAAGATCACGCCATTGCATTCCAGCCTGGGAGACAGAGCAAGACTCCGTCTCAGAAAAAAAAAAAAAAAAACAAAAAAAAGAAAGAAAGAAAGAAAAAAAAGGACAAAGTGGCTGGGCGTGGTGGCTCACCCCTGTAATCCCAGCACTTTGGGAGGCCAAGGTGGACGGATCACAAGATCACGAGTTCGAGGCCAGCCTGGCCAGCATGGTGAAACCCAGTCTCTACTAAAGATACGAAAAAATCAGCCAGGCATGGTGGATCGTGCCTGTAATTCCACTTAGTTGGCAGGCTGAGGCAGGAGAATTGCTTGAACCCGGGATGTGGAGGTTGCAATGAGCTGAGATTGTGCCATTGCACTCCAGCCTGGGTGACGGGGTGAGACTCTGTCTCTGGGGAAAAAATAAAAAGGAACAAAGCAAGTAGTTTTCAATTGGGGCGATTTTGTTCCTCTAGGGAACACTGGCAACCACGTATTTTGGTTGTCACAGCATGTGGGGAGCACTGCTGACATCTAGTGGGTAAAGGCAGGGACTCAGTGAGACACCTTTCAGTGAAGGCAGACGTCAGCCTCCAACAGAGATGTGAAAAGTACCAAGGAAGAGAAGCGTCCCCGCCCCCCCCCCAGCAGCATCATTAGTCATGTCCGTCCCTGGAACCTTGTCCGGTGCCAACAGAAAATACGGTTTTCTTCTCAAGCACATGTGGACCTTTACAAAATTTGGTATTTTAGATTAAAAAGAGAATGTCAGCCGGGCACAGTGGCTCATGTCTGTAATCCCAGGACTTTGGGAGGCCAAGGCGGAAGGATTGTTTGTGCCCAGGAGTTGTAAGACCAGCCTGGGGCCGGGTATGGTGGCTCACTCCTGTAATCCCAGCACTTTGGGAGGCCCGAAGGTGGGCAGATGATGAGGTCAAGAGATCAAGAGCGTCCTGGCCAATGTGGTGAAACCCATTTCTACTGAAAATACACACACACACACACACACACACACACACACACACAATAGCTGGGTGTAGTGTGTTGCACACCTGTAATCCCAGCTACTCGGGAGGCCGAGGCAGAATTGCTTGAACCCAGGAGGTGGAGTTTGTAGTAAGCCTAAATCACGCCACCGCTCCTGGTGACATGACAGAGTGAGACTTCGTCTCAAAAAAAAAAAGACCAGCCAGGGCAACATGGCGAGGACCCATCTCTACTAAAAATGCAAAAAAAAAAAAAAAAATTAGCTGGGTGGTATGGTGGCTCATACCTGTAATCCCAGCATTTTGGGAGGCTGAGGTGGGTGATCATGAGGTCAGGAGTTTGAGACTATAGCCTGGCCAACATGGTGAAACCCTGTCTGTACTAAAAATACAAAAAAATTAGCTGGGTGTGGTGGCACGCACCTGTAACCCCAGCTACTTGGAAGGCTGAGGCAGGAAAATTGTTTGAACCTGGTCAACAGAGGTGGCAGTGAGCCAAGATCGCAGCACTGCACTCCAGCCTGGGTGACAGGGTGAGACTCATTCTCAAAAAAAAAACACAAAAAACACTCATCAATACAAGAACATTCTAGGCTACCCTTTGTGCGCCCTCCCCCCATGATTCTGCATAAGCTGCTGCTGCTTGCTACGTTTGGCCATTTGAAATTGCTGACATTCTAGTGTTTTTGACCTTTAGAGATGGCAGTTTTTAATAAGGTTCAAGCTGATTATAATGAGGTAGATGTTTGTTTTGTGCTAATACGAAAAAAGCTGTTAAGCAGAAAAAAAAGCAAAGTGTGATACGCTATGTATTGATTGAGATCATTGTTGTTTTTTTTTTTTTTTTTCCCTGAGACAGTCTCCCTCTGTGGCCCAGGCCGGAGTGCAGTGGGTTGATGATGGCTCATTGCAACCTCCACCTCCCAGGTTTAAGCGATTCTTGTGCCTCAGCCTCCCAAGTAGCTGGGATTACAGATGGCCACCACCATGCCCAGCTAATTTTTGTATTTTTAGTAGAGAGAGGGTTTTGCCATGTTGGCCGGGCTGGTCCTGGCCTCAAGCCATATGCTTGCCTTGGCCTCTCAAAGTGCTGGGGTTACAGGCATGAGCCACCATTGCCTGGCCTGAGGTCATTTTTACATATATATATGTGTATATATGTTTTTTCTTTGAGGATGGGCTGGCTGTGTTGCACAGGCTGGAGTGCAGTGGTGTGATCATGGCTCACTGCAGTCTCAACCTCCCGGACTCAAGTGATCCTCCTGCCTCAGCCTTCCAAGTAGCTGGGACTGCAGGCACCCACTTTATATTTACTTTAATTTTTGTTTTTTGAATGGGAGTCTCACTCTGTTGTCCAGGTTGAGGTGCAGTGGCTCAGTGTTGCCTCCTTGCAACTCATGCCTCCCGAAATTCAGCAATTCTGGTGCCTCAACCTCCTGAATAGCTGGGACTACAGGTGTACACCACCATGCCCAGCTAATTTTTGGATTTTTAGTAGAGATGGGGTTTTACCACGTTGGCCAGGCTGGTCTCAAAACTCCTGACCTCAAATGATCCACCCGCCTTGGCCTCCCAAGGTGCTGGGATTACAGGAGTGAACCACCGCTAGCCTATTTTTATATTTTAAAGGATACCCGTGTATGTCCTGTGTATTTAAATGTGCATAATCATTTCTGGAACTGTCTACTGGAAACTGCAGCCACAGTGGCCTCCTGAGGGAGGGACCTGTATGTTGGAGGAGGAAGAGGGCTTTCTTCTTTGGATACCTTTCGGTTATCCAAAGGTTCGTGTTTTTCATCCTGGGCTCTTTTTTTTATGATTATAAGAGCCATGCATATTCACTGCGGAAAAATGTCCGTACAGGTAAGCGGAAGGAGAGCCATAGTGCCGGGAAGAACCCTGTGGAGGCGCACCTCTGGGGGCTTTGCTGTGTCTGGTGTTCTCTGAGCATAGAGCACAGGACCCGGTGCTGGACATGCTGCCTTTGCCCCTGTTCTATTTATTTATTGATTGGTTGATTGATTGATTGATTTATTGATTGAGATGGAGTCTTGCTCTGTCATCCAGGCTGGTGTATGGTGGTGCGAGCTCAGCTCACTGCAACCTCCACCTCCCAGGTTCAAGCGATTCTCCCGCCTCAGTGTCCCATGTAGCTGGCGTCCACTATATCTGGCTAGTTTTTATTTCTAGTAGAGACAGGGTTTTGCCATTTCTCCATGTTGATCAGGCTGCTCTCGAACTCCCAACCTCAGGTGATCCACCTGCCTCAGCCACCTAAAGTGCTGGGATTACAGGCGTGAGCCACCATGCCCAGCCTTCCCTCCTCTTCTTGTCTAGAGATGCTCAGGACTTCCTGCCTGTCACAAAAGCCTCTGTTCACTCAGCACCTTGGGGGATGGGGGCGTGTGGCCTGGGCCTGCGCTTGCTCTGGGCTTCGGCACCCCCAGGTTTGGGGTCTGGGAGTGAGTGGCAGCGGCTCCCTGTTACCTGCCTCCTGTCTGCAGGTGTGGAGCGGGCCCTGGTGGCACGGCCCTCCCTGGAGAGCCTGCTGGCAGCCGGCAGCCACATGCTGAGGGAGGTGCTGGATGGGCCTGTGGTGGACCCGCTCAAGAACCTGCGGCTGCCCCGGGAGCTGAAGCCCAACAAGAAGTACAGCTGGATGCGCAAGAAGGAGGAGCGGGTGAGTGGCGGCGTCTTCCTCCCTGGCGCACGCAGGCCGGGCCGGGTGGAAGTCCCCTCTATGGAGGTGCCGTACTGCCTGGGGCGTGGCTGGCTTGGGCGCCAGAGAGGCCTGAGCTACTTGTGCTGAGCTATTTGGCTCCTTGTGCTGATGTGCTATGTGTTTCTGGGCAAGCGGGTGCCCTTCTCAGGACTCAGTTTACCCATCTACCAGCATGTCAGGTACAAGACGTGAGTCGCAGCGTGATCAGCTGGAGAGTAGCCCAGGGTCATGTGTAGTTCTGGCCCTAGGTGCCTGGGGTAGCAGCATCCCCGAGCTGAGCCTCTGTTTATAAATGACACGATGGCCCTCAGTGATGGAGCAGGTGTCACATGCAAGCACTGTGCTTCAGGCCTGCCTTCTAAGTGAGTGTTGCCACAGCCTCGCAGAGCCGGTACAGGCTCCCTCACCTTCGACGAGGCCATGGCCACAGCTAGGAGGTGGCAGTGGTGGGATTTGAGTCCTGCCTCCCTGTGCAGTCTCCCCTGACCTATCCGTGAGCATGGGCATCTGGGCGGTCGGTGGGTGGCGGCATCCTCACCTTCTCCTCCTCCTCTCCTGGTACCTCCCTAGATGTATGCCATGAAGTCCTCCCTGGAGGACATGGATGCCCTGGAGCTGGACTTCCGGATGCGGCTGGCCGAGGTCCAGCGCCAGTACAAGGAAAAGCAGCGTGAGCTGGTGAAGCTGCAGCGGCGCCGGGACTCCGAGTGAGTGTGCCCCCTGCCCTCCCCGTGGGGCCCCTACCCTGGCCGGCCAGTCCCGCAGGCGCGCAGCAGCTGTTGAGGTGTGCGTGGACCCGGCGCCGTGTACGCATCGTGTGCCCGTTCTCCGCGCCCCGCCCGCCTCCCAGCGTCACAGCCAAGCGTGTGATTCTTTTTAAGGGACAGGCGCGAGGAACCCCATAGAAGCTTGGCACGCAGAGGCCCTGGCAGGCCGCGGAAACGGACCCACGCCCCGAGCGCCCTGTCGCCCCCCCGCAAGAGAGGGAAGAGCCGCAACAGTGGCGGAAAGTAAGGCTGGCCCCTCGGTGGGTCGGGGACTGGCACAGAGCTTGAGGGGAGGAGCCCGGGCCCCACTTGGGGCCTGCCTCTGGGTGCTGGGGGACCTCGTGTCCCTTGGGCTCTGACCCACCTGCAGTGGTGGCCCTTGGGGAGTGCTGCCTGTGCTGCCCGGACCAGGAGGGAGCGAGACCAGTGCTGAGCCAGGAGGATGGCTCCTGCGACAGGATTTCCTGTGTCCTAACCCAAGCGCTTCACCTGTCTTCCTGCCATGCCTGCCTCCTCACGCCTAGGGCCTAATTCCTCCTCCTTTCCACGCGCCTCCTCCCTGCCGAGGGACTCGCTGGGCTGCCGGCCTTGCTGGGACGGGCTGTGACCCAGCCGTCACTTGTTCTCCGCAGTGCCGGACCTGCTGACTTGTCCCGCCTGACACCAGGGCTGGCTTCTTCGGGCACTTTGGGGACAAGCTCTTCCTCCTTGGGTGGCGGTCGCAGCTTTGTGGGGGGCCTGTGTGGGTCTTTCTGAATGCCTGCTGGAGCGAGAGCTTTTCCTGCAGGGCAAGGCGTGCACAGGAGAGATGCTTTGTCCTTCCCTGGGTGTCTGTAGCACGAGCGGAATGCAGCCCATCAAGGAAAGGGGTTGGAGCCGCTTGATGGCTCAAGACCTGCCCTGAGGAAGCAGGAGCTCAGGGGCCTTCAGAGGGCACAGAAGAGGCAGTGGGACAGCCACAGGTCTTCTCAGGAGGAAGCAGCCCCAGGGCTCCCATGTCTTGCAAAAGACCCCCCTTACTGGCCACAGCAGGGGAGTGGAGAGGCTCCTGGAGAAGACAGCAGGAGGCTGCGGCCCAGCAGCGTGGTGGTCAGGGGTGCGGCCTACACTGTTTGCATTTCCATTCTTGAGTCCCAGCGCCACTCCTTGGTGTGACTAACCTCAGGCCAGGTGTTAGCTTTTCTGAGCCTCAGCCTCAGTTTCCTCATCTGTAAAAAAAAGTACTCAGGTTGGGTGCAGTGGCTCACGCCTGTAATCCCAGCACTTTGGGAGGCTGAGGTGGGCAGATCACTTGAGGTCAGGAGTTTGGGACCAGCCTGGGCAATGTGGAGAAACCCCATTTCTACTAAAAATACAAAAATTAGCCAGGCACGGTGACACACACCTGTAATCCCAGCTAAGGGGAGAATCGCTTGAACTTGGGGAGGCGGAGGCTGCAGTGAGCTAAGACTGAGCCACTGCACTCCAGCCTGAGCAACAGAGTGAGACGCCATCTCAGAAAAAATATATATATCTTTATCTATATATGTATAGCAGTACCAAATGCTCTTTGTGGCTAAGTTATAAAGCCACTGTTAAAACAGTACAAGACACACAGTGAGTGCCTGGTCCAGATTGGCTGCTTTGATCACCTGGGAAGTTTCAGCTTAAAGCAGGCAAGTGGGGCTTCTGGGCCATTTCTGTGTCCCCACTGCCACTGTGCACAGGATTCTGGAGACCAGCAAATGGCCCCTTCATTTTGTTTTTGTTTTTTCCCTTGCTGGAAAAGGCAGGCTGGAATCCTTCTTTGTGTAACCTTGTGATCTAAACTCCCCCTGCCATTCTGGTGGATTTCCTTGGCATTTCTGATCTTTGTTCTTGGCACGATTTGGTGAACCAGGTATCCGACCGCACAGAGGTGTGTGTGTGAGTGTACGAGTGAAAGCACACAAGAACGAAAACGCTGACTTTTTTCCTCCTCTCACCTTAAACTCTCATTCTGCTTCATTCAGAAATATCCCAGAGTTACAGCACCGTAGTTTTACAAGATCCACCATCTCTCCCCATGCGCGTGACTCTGGCATCACTGTCTGCTTCAGCGTCCAGAGCCCAACCCTTCAGGGCCACGAGGGTGGACCCGAGCCCGCAAGTCACGTCTGGCCAGGGTGCTGACCGGTAGTGTGTCTGCATTTCAGGCTGAGCAACAAGTCTCTGCTGACGTCAGATGACTATGAGCTGGGAGCAGGGATACGGAAGAGACACAAAGGGCCCGAGGAGGAACATGATGCCCTCATTGGAATGGGGAAAGCCAGGGGGAGGAGCCAGACTTGGGATGAACATGAGACCTCGTCTGACTTCATAAGTCAGGTCAGTAACCCAGTCTTCCAGGTGTGTGAGATACTGGTATGGGTATGTTAAGAGTTAATGCTTCCTGGCCAGGCGAGGTGGCTCCTGCCTGTAATCCCAGCACTTTGGGAGGCTGAGGCGGGCAGATCACCAAGTTAGGAGATCGAGACCATCCTGGCTAACACTGTGAAACCCCATCTCTACTAAAAAATACAAAAAATTAGCCAGGCATGGTGGCATGTGTCTGTAGTCCCAGCTACTTGGGAGGGTGAGGCAGGAGAATCACTTGATCCTGGGAGACAGAGGTTTCAGTGAGCCGAGATGGCACCACTGCACTCTTGCCTGGGTAACAGAGGGAGACTCTGTCTCCCAAAAAAAAAAAAAGTTCACACTTCCTTTGCAGGCTCCTTGTTCCTGTACAGAAACCTTAGGAATGGTTGTCTTAGTGCCAGAATGATTCTTCTCCAATCTTCCTTATTGCACAGAGGGGGAAATTATGGCCCAGAGGAGGTCAGAAGTAGCACAGCCTCAGAGACGGGAGCTCTAAAAGCTGTCTCCCTCTGTGTGCTGCGTGACCCTTTGCTAAAGCCGAGCAGAGACACAGGTTCCTGACCAAATAATGCAATTGCTCTGTTAACAGTGTAATTGTTTAATGAGCAGCTTTGCCATTCTGTAGTTCTGAGACACAAGGGCTGGTGCCATGGTAATTTCCTCTCTGAACTCTCCAGGGGTAATGGGCTGGGAGCCAACTCCTTGATTCTTCTTATTTCTGCAGAGCATTGAAATCATCCATTTAAGGTGCTTTTTGTGAATACAGTGTACCTTGTTATCCCTCCCCATAAAGCCCAGTGTAAAGGGGTAATTTTTTTTTTTTTTTTTTGAGACAGAGTCTCACTATGTCACCCAGGCTGGAGTGCAGTGGCGCGATCTTGGTTCACTGCAACCTCCGCCTCCAGGGTTCGAGTGGTTCTTCTGTCTCAGCCTCCCAAGTAGCTGGGATTACAGGCACCTGCCATCACGTCGGGCTAAATTTTTGTATTTTTAGTAGAAATGGGGTTTCACCATGTTGGCCAGGCTGGCCTCGAACTCCTGACCACAGGTGATCCACCCACCTTGGCCTCCCTAAGTGCTGGGATGACAGGTGTGAGCCACCATGCTCGACCCTCTCTTTTGAGCTCAGCCACATGTTTATAGCCAGGGAATTGGCAGTGAGCTATGATCATGCCACTGCACTCTAGGCTGGGTGATACAGCAAGACCTTTTCTCTGAAAAAATTATTTTAAAAAGAGGCTAGGCTGTAATCCAGCACTTTGTAGGCTGAGGTGGGTGGATCATGAGGTCAAGAGATGGAGACCATCCTGGCCAACATGGTGAAACCCCCTATCTACTAAAAATACAGAAATTAGCTGGGCATGGTGGTGGGCGTCTGTAATCCCAGCTACTTGGGAGGCTGAGGCAAGAGAATTGCCTGAACCTGGAAGGCGGAGGCTGCAGTGAGCCAAGATCGCACCACTACACTCCAGCCTGGCGACAGAGCAAGATTTCATCTCAACAGCAACAAAAAGAAAATAGAAAATGTTCAAGCGTGGGGCATTAATGTCTTTGAAACTGCATGTTTCACTTCGGCAAATGACTATAGTTGACGATCGACATGCAGGCAGGAATTTAATCTGTGAAATCTCTAATCATTCTTTTTGCTTCAGGCATCCAAGGAACACTTGAGGCTTTTTTTTTTTTTTTGGCAGCTTTCAGCCCCTTTAGTTGGACGGGCTGGTTTGGATTGTGCAGTAGTCTTTGTCAGCCGCCGTAGGTGGTAAAGATAGGCAGATCAGCCGCACGGGTTTTTGATTTTGATTTCTTTCCTCCCTGTATCCAGCTGCCTTCTCCAGGCCATTGGCAGTACCGCTTGCTTGAAGTGCTTTCTTAGGAGGCACCAGGCAGTACAGTGGAGAGCCAGTGCCAGCGATAAATTTAACCACAACAGCAGCTATTTAATATGTGGTTACCTTGTACCAGGCACTGTGATCGCTGCGTACCTTATCTGAGTTCATCTTCAGAAGCACCTTGGGATGCCCAGACATAAATATCCCCATTTTATAGAGTGTAAACATTGAAGCTGGCCAGTCGCGGCTAACACCTGGAATCCCAACACTTTTGAGTGTGGCTTGAGCTCAAACGTTTTGAGACCAGCCCGGGCAACATGGTGAAACCCCATCTCTAGAAAAAAAATTTTTAAATGAGCCAGGGGTGGTAACGCACGCCTGTATTCCCAGCTACCAGAGAAGCTGAGGTGGGAGGATCACAGAGCCCAGAGGTTGAGACTGCAGTGGGCTGTGATTGCACTACTACACTACAGCCTAGGTGACAGAGCAAGACCCTGTCTTAAAAAAAAAAAAAAAAAATTGGGGGCTCATGCCTGTAATCCCAGCACTTTGGGAGGCCGAAGTGGGTGGATCACTTGAGGTCACAAGTTACAGACCAGCCTGGCCAACATGGCCCTGTCTCTACTAAAAACCACAAAAATTAGGAGGGTGTGGTGGTGCCCATCTGTAGTCCCAGCTACTCGGGAGGCTGATGCAGGAGAATTACTTGGATCTGGGAGGCAGAGATTGCAGTGAGCCGAGATTGTGCCACTGCACCCCAGCCTGGGTGACAAAGTGAGACTCAGTCTCCAAAAATTAAATAAATAAATAAATAAAAGATTGAAGCTGGCTGGGCACGGTGACTCATGCCTGTAATCCCAGCACTTTGGGAGGCTGAGGCGGGTGGATCACGAGGTCAACAGATCAAGACCATCCTGGCCAACTTGGTGAAACCCCATCTCTATTAAAAATACAAAAATTAGTCGGGTGTGGTGGCACATGCCTGTAGTCCTAGCTACTTGGGAGGCTGAGGTAGGAGAATCGCTGGCACCCAGGAGGTGGAGGTTGCAGTGAGGCGAGATTGCACCACTGCAACCTGGTGACAGAGCAACACTCTGTCTCAGAAAAAAAAAAAAATGAGAGATTGAAGCTAAGAGGAGTTAAAAATCACAGGCAGGGGAAGGACTGGAGTCCAAACTGGGCAGAGCACGTGTTCTGAATCCCAGGACCCTGTTTTGCCAAATGTTTTAACCCACAACCCAACTTCCCTCTCCAGCTAAAAATTAAGAAGAAGAAGATGGCCAGCGACCAGGAGCAGTTGGCAAGCAAGCTCGACAAGGCCCTCTCCCTCACCAAGCAGGACAAGTTGAAATCGCCCTTCAAGTTTTCGGACAGTACTGGGGGGAAATCGAAAACTGGCGGGGGCTGCGGCAGGTACTTGACTCCTTACGACAGCCTGCTGGGCAAGGACAGGAAGGCGCTGGCCAAAGGCCTCGGCCTGTCTCTGAAATCCTCCAGAGAAGGTAAACACAAAAGGGCCGCCAAAGCCCGGAAGATGGAGGTGGGGTTTAAGGCCAGAGGCCAGCCCAAATCGGCCCATTCCCCCTTCGCCTCGGAAGTGAGCAGCTACTCTTACAGTAAGTAGCGGATGCCACGCCGCCTCTGGTCCGCTGCTTGTCCCCTTTTCTCCCCTCTTCTTTCCACCTTCCTCCTCCCTTCTCTGTCTGGGGCGCACTAAGGTGCTTGGGTTTTGCATGGTCTCCAAGCCGCAAGTGGGAGGGAGGCCACCTGAAGCGCATCTGCCTGTGATTGGCGAGCGTGATGCTGGGCAGGTGCCTGTGATTGGTGGGCGCCCGTGATTGGCGGTTGGAAGCTGAAATCCGCCTGCCCTCTTGCCCGCGGTCCGCTTGCCTCCTTAACACCTTGCGCACCACAGAGTTTGTGGCTGTTTGGCCTAGAGAGGCCGGGAGCGCCTAGAGGTTACCGGACTCCCTGCCCGCAGGCCACGCGCGTTCCTGTGTGGACTGCAGCCTTGTCGCAGTGTTGATGGAATCGGCGTTTATGGAGCGGGCGCCGTGCTGGGCTCTGGATGCAGGGCTTCATTAGCGTTATGGTGTCTGTGGCATCTCTGACAGCAGGTACCCCCATGTTGTTGCGCGGTATGCTGAGGCCCAGTAGCCAGAGAGGAGTGTGGGCGCCGGGGTGCGAAGAGGCGACTCGGGGTTAAACCCGGTTCGGCCTGACCCACCATCCACTGGAATCTGCTGCCACCATGACTGTGTCCCACATCTGCTCTATCCACTGCGGTAGCCACAAAACATGCGTGGCTATTGAGTTGTTTTCTTTTTTGAGTCGGAGTCTCGCTCTTTGCCTAGGTTGGAGTGTAGTGGCATGATCTTGGCTAACTGCAACTACCACTTCCTGGGTTCAAGCGATTTTTCTCTTTGCCTTCCAAGTAGCTGGGACTACAGGTATGTGCCACCCCACCCAGGTGTTTTTCTCTTTTCTATCAGAGACAGGTTTTCGCCTTGTTGGCCAGGCTGATATTGAACTCCTGACCTCAAGTGATCCACCTGCCTTGGCCTCCCAAAGTGCTGAGATTACAGGCTGTGCCCCCGTGCCCTGTGTTTTTTGAAACAGGTCTCTCCGTGTCCCCCAGGCTGGAGTGCAGTGGGGCCATCACAGCTCACTGCACTCTTGAGCTCCCGGGCTCAAGGTGTCATCCTACCTCAGCCTCCCAAGTAGCTGAGACTAAGTGTGCAGCACCATACCTGGCTAATTTTTAAATTTTTTGTAGAGACAGAGTCTTGCTGTCTTTCCCAGGCTGGTGCCCAAGCACCAGGGCTCAAGCAATCCTCCTCTCTCAGCCTCCTGAGTATCTGGGACTACAGCTGTGCACCACTATGTGCAGCTAATTTATTTTTATTTTTGTGGAGATGGGGTCTCCCTGTTTTCCAGGCCAGTCTGGAATTCCTGGCCTCAAGCAATCCGCCCGCTTTAGCTTTCCAAATAGCTGGGACCGTGGGTGCACAGCACTACACCCAGCTAATGTAGTGTTACTTTTATAGAGGCTGAGTCTTGCTATGTTGCCCATGCTGGTCTTAAACACCTGGGCTCAAGAGATCCTGCCGCCTCAGCCTCCCAAAGTGCTGGGATTAGAGGCGTGAGCTACCTTTTCCAGCTGCTACTGAGCTTTTGAAATAGAGCAGTCCCGGTGGGACTGAGGAATGGAGTTTTATTTCATTTAACTAGAGACTGCTGGATTGGAGTGTCCTCGGGGTCATGGCCTCTTGTGGCCCAGAGCCTGCTGCCTGGCAGGTAGTGGGTGCTCGCTCAGTATTTGTGGACAGAACACCTCATGACCAGGGTGATCAGGTGCTAAGTTTGTGGTTGCTGCAGGGATGCCAGGAGGAGCTTCTTGGGTTCTGGCCATGCCAGTGTCTGGTGTTTGTTCTCGGCATCCCCAGGCCCTGGGGCGGGGAGGGCTTTTACTTTGGCAACTGCCTGGTTCTGTGTGTCTGGAGCTTTTCATTGGCCCTGGCCGGTTCATGGGTGGAGAAGGGGGAGTTTGACGTCAAGTGCAAAAAGTGGACACGTTTACTGATATAATAAACCGTGTTATCTTAAGGAAAGGAAATAGTGTTTATGGACTCGGAGTTAAAGTATCGTCACCTGCTTTACAGGGCTGTTGGGGGCCTTAAGTGAGCTCACGTGGGCAGAGAGCTGAACGTGGCCCCTGGCACAGAATAAGCTGCTGGTTTTTTTTTTTTTCGGAGTGCATGTGTTTTGTCTGGCCTGGGCTAGTGGGTCACCAGGACCGATGCTCCCCATGGATGTGGGTGAAGCAGCTGGCTTGTGCCTTCTGTGCTGAGGACATGTGACAGTGTCGTGGCTTCCTTGCCTCTCTGATTGGGATGGGTGTGATCAGAGCAGCACAGCTCAGGCTCCTGGCCATTGTGTGGGCACCAGCAGAGAGGGATGGTGCCAGAGACTCTTCACTATGAGGGGGAAGGGAAGAATTTCTTTCACTCTCTCAATCTCTGCTCATTTTGGAAACGTAAAGTGGGTTCAGGGAAATGGCGGGTAGATTGCTGTTCCTTTGATCTTCTGAGAGAATGGGGTCTGTGGATGTGGTCTGGCTGGTAGCTGGACGAATTCCCCACTTCCCCCGTTTTCAGGTGGACGTGGATGGGGTGGAGCTGGAGGTCAGAGATGAGCTCTGTCCCTGAGGTCTCTGGGGTGCTCCGAGCTGGTATGTTCACTCTTGTGCGTGTGAGGGAGTGTTCATTTTATTTTTTGAGACAGAATTTTGCTCTTTTTGCCCAGACTGGAGTGCAGTGGTGTGATCTCAGCTCACTGTAACCCCTGCCTCCCAGGTTCAAGTAATTCTCCTGCCTCAGCCTCCTAAGTAGCTGGGATTACAGGTGTCCACCAACACGCCCAGCTTTTTGATTTTTAGTACAGACAGGGTTTCACTACATTGGCCAGGCTGGTCTCAAACTCCTGACCTCAGGTGATTCGTCTGCCTTGGCCTCCCAAAGTGCTGGGATTACTGGAGTGAGTCACCGCTCCCAACCTGGGAATGGTCAAATGAACAGCCTCACTTTATCGTCCCTTTGTCGAAAACTCTGCTGTCCTGGTGGAGAGAAACGGACTCATGTTGCAGTGAGGAGGTCAGTGGGCCTGGCTCCAGCGAGAGGGACGGATCCATAGCCTGCATCCCAGGCTGTGGGATGCACCTGGCTCTGCAGTACACTCCTCTGTTTTTTATGATCTGCTTTTCTGCACTTTTGGTCAGTGAGAGTGCAGGGTCACAAGGAGGTAGGGGTGTGTCCAGCAGGGAGGTGGCTGAGGTGGACAGAGGTTGAAGTGAGAACGGTGCCCTCTTGCTTTTTCGATTTGGGTTGTAGGGGTGGGTGGCCTTTGTTTTTGAGATGATGTCTTTCTGTGTTGTCCAGGCTGGAGTGCAATGGTGCAATCTCGGCTCATTGCAGCCTCCACCTCCTGGGATCAAGCGATCCTTCCACCTCAGCCCCCCGAGTAGCTGGGATTACAGACATTGGCTACCACAATACAATACAAATAGGAAATATAACAATTTTTGTATTTTTTAAAAAATAGAGACAGGGTTTCGCCATGTTGGCCAGGTTGATCTCGAACACCTGGCCTCATGTGATCTGCCCACCTCAGCCTCCCAAAGAGCTGGGATTACAGATGTGTGCTACTGCGCCTGGCCTCCCTGTGGGTCCTTGTAGGAGGCCAAGTTGGTTGTCACCCACTGGCCTCTCCAGCCTGGGACACAGCCTTGGGAGGGACAAATTGGAGCATTTATGAGAGAACGCACTTTGGCTGGTAGGTGGGCAGGGGCTATAGTAGCCTGGCGGGTCTGGACCTTGTACCCCGGAATTGCTGGGCCATCCTGAAGTTGGGGTCTTGGTAGAGTGAAAGGGTAGGTGTTGTCGGGAGCAGCCGGAATAACACCCGCCGTGCATGCGTGTGTGTGGTTTCTCTTAGACTTGGAGGTGGCAGGTACTGCCAGAGCTGTAGCTGTGTTGGTTCACGTTCCCCGAGTTTGGAGTGAATTTCAGCAGGTCAGGGGATTAGTCTCTGGCTCTGGAACCCGTGTCTTCCCATCTTGCTCAGCAGCCCAGTATGAAAAACATCAAAATGGCGTGAGCATGGTGGGGGCTGGAGCAATGCCTACCTGGCAGGCTCCCCTCCCAAAGCCGGCTGGTCATCTCCCTGGAAGATTTGAAGACTCTTGGCTTTCATCTCACAGTGAGGTCAGAGAGTTCAGGAAAGCCAGCAGTGGTGTGCCAGCAAACCAGCTCATAGAGAGAAGGGCAAGGGGGCCAGGCGCGGTGGCTCCCGCCTGTAATCCCAGCACTAGCACTTTGGGAAGCTGAGGTGGGTGGACCATGAGGTCAGGAGTTCAAGACCAGATTGACCAACACGGTGAAACCCTGCTTCTCCTAAAAATACAAAAATTAGGTGGGCGCAATGGCACATGCCTGCTGTCCCAGCTACTCGGAAGGCTGAGTCAGGAGAATCACTTGAACCCAGGAGGTGGAGGTTGGAGTGAGCTGAGATCGCAGCTCTGCACCTGGGCTCCAGAGCGAGACTCCATCTCAAAATTAAAAAAAAAAAAAAAAGGGCAAGGCCTCCTCTCGCGGTCACAGCATTTGCCCATTTCTGTGGTGTAAACACTTGCCATGGCCTGTTTCGTATTACCATTGGGAGGCCGCTGCAGGGCACTGGGAAGAGAATGCACGATCGGCTCTCGTGAGCCCTTCCCCTCCTGGGTCAGGCCCTTCCTCTGCGGTTGTCGCCCTTGGTCCATCGCAATCCCATGGGACAAGCAGTGACCAGGGGACAGTCATTCCTGAGCATGGGGCTCCTGTCATCCCCTGGTGCCCGGAAAGGCTGGAGTGACTGGTGGGTGAGGCTGGCAGCATCAGTCTAGGAAGGGCCAGGGTCCAGCACTTGGAAGATGCCATGTGATGCCCAAGGTACCCAGGGCAGAGGAGAGTCCTGGCCTGGGCGGGGAGCTGGTGATGTTGAGCACGGCTTTCCCACAACCACCTACTAGGGACCTGTTTGTTCTGGCACCATCCAGTGTGTTCTCAGAACCATTAAAACCAATAAAATGAAGCCACCAGCTCCCGCTGCCCTGTGACTTATCTTTATTAAAAACTACTTTGACTGCAGATACGGACTCAGAGGAAGATGAAGAATTCCTGAAGGACGAGTGGCCCGCCCAAGGCCCCTCCAGCTCCAAACTGACACCTTCCCTCCTGTGTGGCATGGTGGCAAAGAACAGCAAGGCGGCTGGTGGCCCCAAGCTGACCAAGAGGGGCCTGGTGGCCCCCCGGACTCTGAAACCCAAGCCGGCCACCAGCAGGAAGCAGCCGTTCTGTTTGCTGCTTCGAGAGGCCGAGGCGCGGTCCTCCTTCAGCGACTCTTCGGAGGAATCGCTTGACCAAGGTTACTAGCTCCAAACACAAAATACCTTCCGTGTTTCCTAGCGAGAGAGTGAGTGCGAGTGAGCGAGAGGGAAGCGAGTGGGCGCGCGGGAGAGATGGTGGGTGAGGAGGCCCGTGCAGATGGCCGCAGGAAGGCCGCCATCTGGGTTCTTGGCAGCGTAGCCTGCTGTATCAGCCGAATGATTTTTATTTTTGCTTTTATTTGGACTGTATCATTGTGATAATCTCACCGGCTAGCTCTTTTGGAGCTGTTACGTGGACCACTTTGAGTCTGCATTTTTCTCCACTTTCCCTCCTCTCTGCCCTCCTCCCCCTAAACCCAAGATCTTCCCCCTCCACCCCGACCCCTGCACTCACCTTTTCTGCCCACCCAGAGATCCCAGGCTTGGGTCGGGCTCTCTTTGGGCACGGCCCGGTGGAGGCCTCCCGAGGAACGTTTTGTAAATGGAATTCTGTCGTGTGGGCGTGTGACTTGATGTTTGTACCGCGATTTTGGTTACCAAGCTTTATTAAACATATCGAGTTCATTTTTAACTAAACCTGTGTGCCTTGTCTCTCTTGCTGTGTCCTTACTAGACATTAGGTTGACGCTTCCCTCTCATTTTGTTTCTCCCCCACCTCCTCCCCTCCCTCCTCCCCACCCAGAAGGAGTAGGGACGGGACTTGCCGCCTGCTGCTTGCCTGTGTTATTCAAATATCCCTGGTAGCAATTGGCATCCATTTCATTTTTCAGGTTTAAAACCAAGTGCCTTCACCTCCCAGCATCATCATGTTTTTTTTAGTTGCTTGTTTGTCTTTTATTTTCTTAAAGCTCTATCCTTACTCGCCAGTGGTTAAAAAGTACTATTTATAAATGCTTGTCTTCTCACGTGTATTTCTGTTTTGAAGGGTGTGTAGGCAGCACAGGGTCAAAAGCCTTTGACACCTCAGTGCAAAAGTGGCTTGGTTGCCGCATGGAGGGATGGAGCCCCGTGCTCTGTTTGGAGAGAGACGGGCCTGGTCCCAGCCCTGGGTCCTCAGCCACCTCGCTTCTCTAAAGAGAGTTTGCTGGGGCCCTGAGGCCCCCCTGGCCCTGCCCTCTCCAATGCCAGAATTGTGCTACTGGGGTTAGGAACTTCTAAGCCTTTCAGGCCCTTCAACCAGAAATCTCCCAAGAAAGGGAAGCAAGTGAATCTCTGGCCTTTTTTCCTCGCCCTGGTTTTAAGATTTGGCTTCAGGCTAACTCCCCCTAGGGCCAGCCGAGGGGATCCCCCAGGCCCTGGGTAGCCACACCTGGATGTCAGCTGCTCCCCGAGGAAGGCCTGGGGGTCTCATGGTGACCCTGGGCCTGACCTGGCTCGGGGACCCCAGGACCAGAATGCTGCCCCCCCTGCCCTGTTTTTCCAGCCCTGCTCTCAAATTCCTGGTCTACCCCGCCTCCCCTCTCAGAACTCCCCTCCAAATTGGCAGAGATCCCTCGGTGACCAGGAGGTGGTATGACGGCGAGTATGATGCCCTGGGGGTCAAGTATGGTGCCCCGGGGCTCATGTTCCCCAGGGCTGCTGTCCCTTGGAGCCAAGCCACCAGGGCTGAGAAGAGAGGCCCCTGACCCCTGCAGGGGCTGTCCATGGATGAGTCGGGTTAGTTTACAATCCCCTTCTCCCTCCCCGGCCTCCGCCCTCTCCCCTATCTCGGCTGGATCCCATCCCTTGGCCCTCACACTCCCTTAAAGCCAGGATTCCTGGTTATAAGTTTTGAGCTCTCCTGTCCCAGCTCAGACCCCATAGAGAAGCAGGCAGCCCCCCAGCCCTCTTACGAAGGGGCTACGGGCTGGATGCTGCAGTGCCAAGTGTACAGGGCCCAGATAGGGGAGGGCGGGGAGTCGAGGGGAGGCGGGGAGGCCCAGGCTCCTCGGTGCCCCCCTCCACCCCCACCGTGTCCACCATTGAGCAGGTCTTGAAAGGGATATTTGGGTAATAGGGCCTCGCTGACCTGGTACTAAACTCCGTAACTGGCTTGGCTTTTCTGGTGTGTCTGCTTCTTCCAGCAGCCCGACCATACCTCCACCCTTGACCCTCCCCATGACGCTTTGAATGTCTGTTTTGGTCTCTTGCATTGCTCTCACGCTGCACTCTGGACGCAAAGCGAAGGCTGGGAGTAGGGCAGACGGCGCAGCGGGTCACTGAGCTTGGGTGCGAGCCTGGCTCGTTGCTCCGTAGGTAGGCAAAACGCTTTTCTTTCTGTCTCCCGTACACCTCCCCTCCTCGGGGTTCGCCCCCACCGGGTCTGGCAGCCGCAGATCGCTCTGGCATTTACCACCAACCTGTCACCGCCAACCCCATGTCCTGAGCCAAGATCTTTTTTTGTTGTTGTTGTTTTTTTTTTCTTTAAATAAAAAACCAAAAATGAGTTTTTCTGTATTTCCTTGGGTTTCTTTGATGGGACATTTTTCCCCCTCCCTGTCCCCCAACCTTGGCAAGCAAGCTCTGTGGCCTCAGGTGCGGACAACTCCAGAAAGGTTTTCTTGGTCTTCAGAGCCCCTCTGCTCCCCAGCCCATTGCGGACGTGTGTGCACCAGCCCCCGCCCACCCACCGTGGGAGCAGCTGGTGTGGCCTTGTCAATCACGCAGGGAGCCAGGAGAGTCTCCCGTACCAAGGTGTGGGCATTGGGCTGCTCCCGGCTTTCTGCGCTCTGGCGTGGAGGTGGGCGTCCAGAAACCCAGAGCTTGCCCTACCCCCATGGGTCCTGCTGCTTGACAATACCTCTGGATGGGAAAGGTTTCTGGAGTCTGTGCACCTGAGCAGCTAGAAGGGAAGATCCTCGGCCCCACCATTTAACCCCACAACCCCACCCCTCAGCCAGCCCCCCACCCACCACCCTGCTCAAATTGGCCCACTCCAGGGAGACCCAATGTGGGAGACCCAGGCGCTGTCAAAAGTCTGCCTACACTTAGCCTGCTTTGCCGCTGTGGCCCACTGGGGCGGAGACAGAGCCATGTGACTCCCGCAATGTGAATGATCGCAAGTGTGCACTGCCTGCCTGCCTGCCCCCGCCTGCCCCGCTGGCCTCTCCAGCCTGCTTCATCCATTGCTTGGGGGGCCAGTCTCCTCTCTCACCCTCTTAACAAACCTCCTCCCTCTCCCTCTGGCTCTTCCCTCCCTCCCTCCACTCCTTTGCAGACTCCTCAGACTCATGATCGTTAGGCCTTCCTCTCGGAGGTGGCCCAGCAGAAATCTGGGCTCCCTCCAATACACGAGTAGACAGATAGAACCTCTGCCCTCATTGGCACCCCTGGGGCCGCCACTTTTGGCCACAAATTGCCTAAGCAAGCAGGCAGCTTGAGGCGTTGGCAGGAGACCGTGGAGTTGGCTGTCCGTCTTCCCCAGTATAGGCTTCTCCCTGAGCCTAGACTGTTCCTCATCCTGGAGGGAGAGGGTGTGGCACTCATCTCTTGCTGGAAGGGGCCACCTTCCAGCCCTGAGCCCCCCGAGTCGCCTTACCGGTCCCAGCACTGTGGCCCGCAAGGCAGACAGGTGCCCCTGTCACCTGCTTGTGGGTGGCACTTTGGATGTGACATCTCAGGGCAGAGTTGGCTCTCTGATGCCTCCCACCTGCCTGTCCTCAGCATGGGTCAGCCCTGGTGTCTCCCTGGGAAGGTCGGAAGTAATTCTCTGCCTCAAGACAGCCTCTTTTTTTGGTAGGGGGTTTGGTTTGTGCATAGGGAGCCTCTTGTCTGCCAGCTACCCTGGTCCTGAGAGCCTATGCTGGGCTCCCAGGGGCTGCAGATCCTTAGGACAGCAGGGCCGGTTACTGGATGAAGCTAGTCATAAGTCACCAACCAAAGAGACAGGCTGGGGCTTCTTTATTTTTTCTGAGTTTTTCTGATTATCATTTGAGATGGAGTCTCGCTCTGTCTCCCAGGCTGGAGTGCAGTGGTGCAATCTCGGCTCACTATAGCCTCTGTCTCCCAGGTTCAAGCGATTCTCCTGGCTCAGCCTCCCAAGTAGCTAGGATTACAGGTGTGCGCCACCATGCCTGGCTATTTTTTGTATTTTTAGTAGAGACGGGGTTTCACCATGTTGCCCTGCCTGGTCTCTAACTCCTGACCTCAAGTGATTCACCCGCCTTGGCCTCCCAAAGTGCTGGGATTACAGGTGTGAGCCACCACAGCAGCCTATTTATTTATTTTTGAGACAGGGTCTCGCTCTGTCACTCAAGCTGGAGTGCAGTGGTGCCAGCATAACTGACCTCAGCCTCGGGCTCCTGAGTTCAAGCCGTCCTCCTGCTTCTGCCTCTGGAGTTGCCAAACTGCAGGCGTGCCTGGCTAATTAAAAAAATTTTTTTTGTATCGACAAGGTTTGCTCTGTTGCCCAGACTGGTCCTCAAACTCCTAGCCTCAAGAGATCCTCCTGCCTTGGCCTCTCAAAGTGCTGGGATTACAGGAGGGAGCCACCTTGCCTGGCCCTGGGGCTTCTTTAGGTAGTCACCAGCTCTGGGTTTGAGCCTTCTCTTATGCTGCCTGAGTCTTTAACCCCTTTGGGCCTCAGTCTACCCCTGCCCTTCCTGGGCATCTCATCATTGAAGAGTCGCAGCCAGCTGTAGCCTGGGCACGGGACAGCACAGTTTCTCTCTGCAGGTCACAGGGGTGGCCCTGTTTCTTTGTGATGTTCTTTAAGCCTACAGATTGCTTTTTCCTCCCTGCAAATGATTCTCTGGATCCTGCCCTTGGCTGAGCCAATGGGCTGGGAGGGTCACCCTTTGCTGCAGGTGAGAAAATAGAGGCTCAGAGAGGATGGGGACTTGCCCAGCCTCCCCAGAATGGGGGAGTTGCTATGAGTCAACTTAATATTTTTGAATTAAATTAAAAAAAAATTAGACATAGGACACTCTGTTGCCCAGGCTGATGTGGAGCTCCTGGGCTCGAGTGATCCTTCTGCATTGGCTTCCCGAAGTGTTGGGATTACAGGCATGAGCCACCGTGCCCAGCCAGGAGTCAACTTTGTTTTATTTTTTTGAGATTGAGTCTCACTCTTGTTGCCCAGGCTAGAGTGCAGTGTTGTGATCTTGGCTCACTGCAACCTCTGCCTCCTGGGTTCAAGTGATTCCAGAAATCGACTTTAGGCTCCAGATCCTTTCTGAGGGCTGAAACCATGGGGATACCCTGGCCCCCAGGAAGAGCCCAAACTCCACCTTCTCTTGCCACCAGCCCCCAGGACTCAGCTGGTGACCTGTGCCTGCAACCCCCAACCTGAGCCCCCAGGGCCCTCTTCCCCCTCACCTCCTCTTTCCTTCTCCTCTCCTGCCTCTGTGTTGTGTGTTGGGGCGTGTGCGCGTGTGGCCGTGGAGAGAGCTGTCTCCAGTCCTTGTCCGTGTGTCTGGCCCCTACCACAGCTCAGGTGCATGTTGGTGCCCTTCATAGCAGCCCACCCTGACACCCAAGGCCGCTGCCCACCTCCGGGCTGTCTGGGATGCCCGCATTGGGCTTGGCTGGCCGGGGGCATTGAGTCATTGGGTGGGGAAAACCCATGGGCTGAGTCTGCATCCACCCCCGGTGGCCCCCTGGTGAGGACTAAGGGGCTAGGCTGGAGCCCAGAGGCCACTCCAGAATTGGGGGGCAGTGGGGGGTGGCCCTGGCCGAGGCCAAGGCTCTGACTCGGTCCTTGTTTTCTGCACACCAGATGAGAGCTCGGAGGAGGAAGACGAGGAGGAGCTAGAGGAGGAGGACGAGGCCAACGGCGGTGGCTATAGTCTGGGTGCCCGGGAGCGGGCCCTGTCACCGGGCCTGGAGGAGAGTGGGCTGGGCCTGCTGGCACGCTTTGCCGCCAGCGCCCTCCCCAGCCCCACAGTGGGCCCGTCCCTGTCTGTGGTACAGCTGGAGGCCAAGCAAAAGGCCCGGAAGAAAGAGGAGCGGCAGAGCCTGCTGGGTGAGTGGCGGCGGGCAGGCTGTTGGGGGGCGGATGCCATCGTCCCTTGCCACAGATAAGGAAACTGAGGCTCAGAGAGATGCAGATGCAGAGCTGGGAATGGGCAGAACCCCAGCCTCAAAAGGGTTCTGTCCTAAGCAGGGATGCAGGTGACAGAGGCCCCAGCCTGCCATCTCCAAGGAGGGCAACTCCTTGCCTTGCAAAGGGTGGCCTCCTTCAGCTTCAGTCTCATGCTCCCAACAAACACGGCCCTGTGTTGGGCATTTGGGGGGCTGCTGGAGCTCCATGGAGGCCCCCAACCCAGCCTGGGGTTCAGGGGGCCACTCCGGGTTGGGGACACCCAGTCTGGTCCGTGAGAGAGAGCGGAATGCTGGCTGAGACACAGGTGCAGGGGAAGGAACAGCTACTTCGAGGTAGGAAGAAGAGAGCGTGTCTTGTTCAGGGTTTCACAGGATGGTAGGGGTGCAGTCTGGCATGAGAGAGCAGGTGGGTTAGGCTTCGTGCAGCCTGGTCTTGGGCCTGGAGGAGTCAGGTGGGGCGGGCAGGTACCATGCTTTCCTTGACTTGCTCGCAATCCAGATGGGTAAACTGAGGCAGCAGGCACTTACACTTGGGCAGGCAGCTGGTGCTTATACCAGCTGATCGTACCCCAGTGTCAGGGCCCCGCCTTCTTGGGAGCCTCTCCTGGGCCCTCCGTATTCTCACTAGGCTGAGTGCCCTCACGTGGACACAGCCCACCTGCAGCTGGGGTTGGTGCTGGAGGTGGAGATGGTCCTGCATGTGTTTAGTCTGTGAGTTCCCCTGGCCCCAACAGGGGAGGGTCCTTCTGACCCTCAGGCATCCTTTTCTGAGCCACAGTGGTGGTAGGCATGAGGCCCTCCTGGGAGGGGCTGGGACAGGAAAACGCATTGCTGTCCCTGAAGGCCCCCCGCCAGCTGCCCCTGGCTTCATGCTCTCTGTAGGTTCACAGAGCAAAGCCTCACCCCTAACCTCCTGTGTCTAGTGGAACCCCCATTTCTGGCACCCATGCCAGGCTCCAGGGTCTGCCTATCTCCTCCTCCCTCTTATTCCTACATCCTGCCATTGTTTGCTGGGCTTCAGGTCTGGTTCTCCTGGAAAGAGGCACTGGAGACCCCTACAAGTTTACCTGTTCTCAGGTACTCTTCACATGGAAGCAGCTGGAGGGCGTCTTCAGAGTGCACACTTGGCCAAGCCACTCTTCAGCCCAGAACCTCCAAATGGCTTCCCACTGCCCTCTGATTAGTGCTACCTGTCTGACCCTCCACATCAGACTCTGACTGCTTGGACATTATCCTGTCCACAGTCCCTAAATGCACCAGCCAGGCTAGTACCCTCAGGCTGTGTCTACAGCCCTAAATATCCATTTCACCCAAACCAGCCAAAGTATTAGCATAGGACCAAATTATTCCCTTATTATACATTGAGTGTCTGAAGGATCTGTAGTGATGTTGCTTTTTTCATTGCTGATATAGATTGTTTTTTCTTACTCTGTTTCTTGGTCATTCTGGCTAGACATGATCAGTTTCATTGGTTTCTACTGTTATTTTCTTCCTTATTATTTTGGATACACAAGCATGTCTTGGAGATACTGCAGGATTGCTTCCAAACCATAAGGCAAATACCACAGTAAAGCAAGTCACATGAATGCTTTGGTTTCCCAGTGCAAACAGAAGTTAGGCTTACACTATACTGTTGTCTGTTAAGTGTATAATATGTTTGAAAAAACAGTGTACGTACCTTAATTAAAAAGTAGATTATTGGCTGTGCATGGTGGCTCACACCTGTAATCCCAGCACTTTAAGAGGCCAAGACGAGAGGATGGCTTGAGCACAGTAGTTCTAGACCAGCCTGGGCAACAGAGCGAGATGCCATCTCTACAAAAAAAATCAACAAAAAAATTAGCCGGGCATAGAGACACACGCCTGTGGCGGCACAGAGACACGCCCAGCTACTTAGGAGGCTGATGGAAAAGGATTGCTTGAGCTTGGGAGGTCAAAGCTTCAGTGAGCCGAAATTGTGCCACTGCACTCAAGCCTTGGCGACAGAGTGAGACCCTGTCTCAAAAATAAAAGACAAAACAAAAAGCATATGTTTACACCATCTTGTCTTCTGTTAAGCATGCGACAGCATTGTCTTTCTGTTGTTTTGAGACAGAGTCTCACTTTGTTGCCTAGGCTGGAGGGCAGTGGTGTGTTCTCGGCTCACTGCAATCCCCGCCTCCTGGGTTCAAGTTATTCTCTTGCCTCAGCCTCCCGAGTAGCTGGGATTACAAACACACACCACCACGTGCGGCTAATTTTTTGTATTTGTAGTAGAGACGGGGTTTCACCATGTTGGCCAGGCTGGTCTCGAACTCCAGACCTCAGGTGATCCACCCACCTCGGCCTCCCAAAGTGCTGGGATTGCAGGCGTGAGCCACTGTGCCTGGCCGTAATAGCATTATGTCTAAGAAAACATTGTGCATACCTTAATTTTAAAATGGTTTATTGCTGAAAAAGCTGACGATCATCTGAGCCTTTAGTGAGCTGTAATCTTTTTGCCAGTGGAGGGTCCTGCCTTGAGGTTGATGGCTGCTGACTGATTAGGGGGGTGGCTGCTGAAGCTTGGGGTGCTGTGGCAATTTCTTAAAATAAGACGACAGTGCAGTTTGCCACATCAATGGACTCTTTCTTTTAAGAAAGATTTCTCCGTAACATGCTATACTATTTGATAGTGTGTTACCTGCAGAACTTCTTTCAAAATTGGAGGCTTTCCTCTCCAACCCTGCTGCTGCTTTATCAGCTAAGCTTATGCAGTGTTCTAAATCCTTTGTCATTTCAACAGTGTTCACAGCATCTTCACCAGGAGTAGAGGCCATCTCAGGAAACCACTGTGTTTGCTCCTCCGTGAAAAGCAGCTCCTCCTCTTTGCAAATTTATCATGACATTGCAGCAATACAGTCCTGTCTTCAGGCTCCACTCTTAACTCGTGCTCTCTAGCTGTTTCCACCACATCTGCAGTGACTTCCGGCAGTGAAGTCTTGAACCTTTCAAAGTTGTCCACGAGGGTTGGAATCCGTTTTTTTTCTTTCGAGACGGAATCTTGCTCTGTCTCCCAGGCAGGAGTGTAGTTTGGCTCACTACAACCTCTGCCTCCTGGGTTCAAGTGATTCTCCTGCCTCAGCCTCCCGAGTAGCTGGGATTACAGGCGTTCACCCCCACACCTGGCTGATTTTTGTGTTTTCAGTAGAGACAGGGTTTTACCATGTTGGCTAGGCTGATCTCGAACTCCTGACCTCAGGTGATCCATCCACCTTGGACTTCCAAAGTGCTGGGATCATAGGTGTGAGCCACTGCGCCTGGCCTGTTGTCCCATTGATAGAGCACTGACAGAGGACATTTAGCATCATTCTTGAGCCCCCGGGGGTTTTTAGGATGGTCAATGAGCATTGGCTTCAACTTAAAGTCCCCAGCTGCATTGCCCCTAACAGGAGAGTCAGCCTGTCCTATGAAGCTTTGAAGCCAGGCATTGACTTCTCTCTAGCTATGAAAGCCTTAGATGGCATCATCTTCCAGCAGAAGGCTGTTTTATCCATTTTGCAAATCCGTTAGTTGGTGTAGCCACTTTAACCAATGCCCCTAGGTGCATCAAGCAATTCTCCTGCTTCAGTCTCCCGAGTAGCTAGGATTACAAGTGACTGCTGCCACGCCCAGCTAATTTTTTGTATCTTTTTTTTTTTTTTTTTTTTGGTAAAGGCGGGGTTTCACCATGTTGGTCAGGCTGGTCTTGAACTCCCGACCTCAAGTGATCCACCAGCCTTGGCCTCCAACGTGCTTAGATTACAGGCGTGAGCCACCGCGCCCGGCCCTTTTCATATCTTTAGTAGAGATGGGGTTTCGCCATTTTGGTCAGGCCAGTCTTGAATTCCTGACCTTGTGATCCTCCTGCCTCTGAGTCCCAAAGTGCTGAGATTACAGGCATGAGCCACCGTGCCTGACTATCCTTGCATTTTCATGTTATGGAGATGGCTTCTTAGTTGGAATCTCACTCTGTTGCCCAGACTGGAGTGCAGTGACATAATCTCGGCTCACTGTAACTTCTGCCTCCTGGGTTCAAGCAATTCTCCTGCCTCAGCCTCCTGAGTAGCTGGGACTACAGGCGCCTGCCACCATGCTTGGCTTGGCTAATTTTTGTATTTTGTTAGTAGAGATGGGGTTTCGCCATGTTGGCCAGGCTGGTCTCAAACACCTGACCTCAAGTGATCCACCCACTTTGGCCTTCCGAAGTACTGGGATTACAGGCATGAGCAACCACACCTGGCCAATGGCTTCTTTCCTCACACCTCATGAGCCAGTCTCTGCTGGCTTCAAACTTTCCTTTTGGAGTTTCTCACCTCTCTCAGCCTTCACAGAATTGAAGAGAGTTGGAGCCTTGCTCCGGATTAGGATTTGGCTTGGCTTAAAGGAATGTTGGGGCTGGTTTGATCTTCTCTCCAGAGCACTTAAACTTTCTCCATGTCAGCCAGCAGTAAGCCTGTTTCACTTTCTTTGTTTTTTTTTTTTTTTTTTTTTTTTTTTTTTTTTGAGACGGAGTTTCTCTCTTGTTACCCAGGCTGGAGTGCAATGGCGCGATCTCAGCTCACCGCAACCTCTGCCTCCTGGGTTCAGGCAATTCTCCCACCTCAGTCTCCTGAGTAGCTGGGATTACAGGCACGCGCCACCACGTCCAGCTAATTTTTTGTATTTTTAGTAGAGACAGGGTTTCACCATGTTGACCAGGATGGTCTCGATCTGTTGACCTCATGATCCACCCGCCTCGGCCTCCCAAAGTGCTGGGATTACAGGCTTGAGCCACCGCGCCCGGCCAAGCCTGTTTCACTTTCTTATCATACATGTGTTCATCAGAGCGCTTGAAATTTCCTTCAAGAACTTTTTCTTTGCTTTCACAGCCTGGCTAACTGTTGTACACAAGAGGCCTTGCTTTGAGGCTATCTTGGTTTT